AAATGTTTGGGTCAGGTTATACATATTCATACTACTTCTACGGGAAGGTTACAGGTCGCGCTGTCCAAAAGGGACGTTGTACATATTTTGCGGACCATTACAAAGCGTTTCGCTATGCGTGTATATAAGAGAAAAAACACACCATGAACTACGATCTAAGAGATCTGACAATACGCGATTCTTACAAATACAATGATGATCATTGAAATACAGTGAAAGGCGATGATGTTCGATGATATACTATGATGTGCAATGAACTACAAGTACATTACTCGAAAGGCAGTCAAGAGAATTCTGTGTTCAATGGTTATACCGTACCGATACATATATGTTCCGTGATGAGAAATCTTCTGATGAAACAGGTTGATGAGAATTTACTACTATTGTTGAATGTTGTTTATTCGCACGAATACTAGTGTGAAACTACCATTACCTGCATGTGACAATTGTTATCATATTTAATACAGTCAGTTTCAACTTACAGGAGAAGACGCCATATGAGCGCAGTTTTACAGTGATCGAAAATTTTCATAAGAATATTGATGATGTATATGATTTCATTTTAAGTTTCTATTTATGTTCATAATCACGTTCTTTGAATTTTAGAATCCAGGAGTCTCCTTCGACCAGTTTGGGTCTTGTTCACGCTGATGTTACGACAGAATTACGATTTCCATGGGGAGTTGTATTTATCCATACGTCACGTATCGACATTTCACAAAATAAATGGATCCATGTATTCCAGTATAAATTGCCAGATTTGTCTGAAATGGGCAATAGACCAGATTACCAACAGTTTTGTAAAACGCACGCGTTACATTGTTATTCTGTGAATGCTATAGATGGATACATAAAGAAAGCGGAACAAGAATTGCTCGTGTATTGGACGAATGTCAGTAAGGACATTAAAATATTAATTCCGCACATTAACACTTTTCAAAAGGATTCACGCACGAGACGGGCAATTCTTCCATTTATCGGATCCATTAGTCGTTCACTTTTTGGTACTGCCACAGTCGAAGATGTAGAACGGCTGGCGCAGTATGTCAAACAATTATCAATGCATGTAACTAATACTTCTCGTGTTGTACAAGTGCAAGTTCGTCAGATGTCGTCATTTATAGCTAAAACCAATGACCGTATTTCTCAGGTAGCTGAACAGGCACAAGATGTAGAAAAAAGTATTTTCATTTCTATGAAAATTTTGCTAGATCGTCTGACATTTTTGACGACTATTCGACAGGAAATTGATGAAATGTATCTTGGAATACAGCAATTAGTTAACCAGCGTTTGAGTCCATCTTTGCTCCCAGTTACGGAAGTAAAGAAGGCCCTAAATATGATTCAAAAACGTCTCAATGCTGAATATCAGTTGTTTCACGTTGCTCACAAGGATCCAGGCTATTATTATCGGGAACGCACTGTTCATTGTTCTAGAACTGGAGATTCAATTTAAATTTCGCTCATTGTTCCTATCCAGACTCATTTAACTCTCCTCGATGTATATCGAATTAATTCATTTGGCCTACCAATTAATCAATCAAGTTCACACGTGACTCAGGTTATGAACTTACCTGATTATTTGGCAGTTTCGGAAGCGAAAGATCAGTATATTGAATTTTCTACCAGGGATTTTCAAACATGTTTTGGTCAATACGAAAAACATTGCCCAATATTTCTTAGCCCCAAACCAAACACTGTTCTCACCTGCGCACTTGCTTTGTTTAATCAGGACGTACCAGGAATTAAATCCTTGTGTGATGTTAAATTAAATTAAACGGGCTTCGTTCGATGGCTCTCGAAATCGAACCAGGCCTTGTTTTGCTCAGTGGCATAAAAACTATTATATTAACTTGCAAGGGTCGCATTGAGAAGCGTCCAGCTTGTCAGATTTGTATATTTAAAATGCCTTGCCACTGTGCGTTGAAACTGGATGAATTCGACATAGACATGAGAATTCATCACTGTGAAAAAAAGTCAACAACTTCAAAATTGTATCCACCCAATCTTCTACTCTTTTCGGAATTTTTCAATTCATCCGCACTGAAACCTTTCGAAACTTTACGGCCTCTTTTAGAAGATTCTGCGTTCAAAATCCCACATTTATTAATCGATGATAAAGTTTTCGATGACATTCGGAAAAAGGACAAGAAATTTCAAGTTGATTTACGCCTTATTTCCAAGCGTATGAAAAAGGCACAAGTGATTTCGGATAATTTAATTGAAGATAATTGGATGGATTCCCTTCCATCGTCTACTTTGGATAGGTCCTTAACCAACCCCTATCATTTAACGGCTAGTTTTGCCGCAGGTTTGTCCTTATTTCTATTTATACTGGTTATGTATTTATGGTTAAAAGTTAGACGCCTATTTTTTGCTTTAACGTTACTTACAGCAGGTTCCCCGACTAATGGGTTTACAGATTGGAAAGCATACCACACAACCACCCCTCCGAACTATCCCCAGCCATCTTTTATGTCTTTGATTAAATCAACTATTTCAATGGATGTTTTCCTCATCATATCGACAGTATTTCTGGTGTTTATTTTACTTCTTCGCAGAATAAAAAAGTTCAATCGACCGGTTACGACCTTAGTTTTACATTTGACTAATGCTTTGGCTTGTCATGAGATTGTTCTGTCACAATTTTATCTCTGCCCCCGTGACCTCACATTGTCAGCTGCAAATGCTTTGACTAACTTTCGTATTCAACGAGTTTTCTTTACATATTACTTGCTGTTTGATAGCCCTAAACTGCACGTCCACACACCGACACAATCTATATATATTTCTGGTAAGATTGCTATCAGCTGCATAAAAGCGTGGCAATTAAAAAAAATTCTCCCCACTACTACAGGTGTTTTTATGGTTCTACAACATTGTGGAGTCGCTTTTCCATTACCGGTGAATTAAGCCTTCCCCAGACATAATGTATTATCCAGTTAACCAATTTATGCCTTTTGTTTCCCTCCATCTGCCGGAGCGGCCAGAAACTACTATTCATTTGACTTGGGCACATGTTGACTTAGTCACGTAATCACGATGATGATTTGTGTCCGTTGAACATTTGACATGAGTTTTATAATCACGAGGAACCCTGTTGTCGGTATATAAGACCATGATTACAATTCATTCGACCCCGCTCTTCACACATCTGACTTCGTTCATTTTGGTAAGACCCTTTTTCTCTCTTGTATTTCAACTTCTCTTGTGTCGGTTTTTATCAGCTACTTGGCTTATTCCCAAATTCTTCTTGGTCAAGTTTCCTGCTTCACTCGGCCAATTCTATCATTTAAACTTTACTGTCCCTTAATCTTTACAGTCATCTCAATCTGAAATAATGCAGGCTTTTAAGGATGTCTACCTCTTTGAGTGACTGGCATACAATGAGGTTCTGGTGCTTGGTGATGTCATTCGGGATTCGCTGCAGGTGAACTCAGCCCTTATAGCAGAGACACCCCGGACGCGGACCACTATTGCCTGTCCGCGTTATTTTTAATTCCTTCCTTTTTGGCGGGTAGTCCTTTACTTGGCAGGGTTACTGTCTTATAGTGTAGAGTTACCACTCATGGATGACGCCCTTTTGGAGCAGGTTACAATCCTTGCTGAATATTTCAAGGCACCTAACCTTGTTATGGTATGCGCCCAGACGACCTTATCATGCCCAAATCCATTTTGTAAAATGGCCACATGGATCATGCGGGCACATGAGGCTATGCCGATATACCAGACATCATTTGCTAATTTCATTGACTTTTTAGAAATGGAATATGGTCTGCCAGGGTGTCACATATTAAAACACGTATCGGGTGCGTTGGCGTTTCATGTCCCCCAAGTGGTCAGTGTGGTCGACAGAACAAGGGACCGATACGAGAGGTGGCTTAAACAGTCCCATTGTGTTCTCTGTAAAGTTCAAATTACCGAAGCAGCGACGGCATCGGTAAGGCCCCTTCCTTGTTGCTTTGCAACAATCCATGCTGACTGCGCGCTCCGATTCCGGGCTATGCCGTTATGGTCGTTAGCCGCACCTGACGTTTTTTGTGTTGCTTGTGGTACTCCCTATATTGGAGCCCGAGTCTCGTTACCGGCACATCCGACGGCTGATTCGCCGCAAGTTACTGCATGCCTTCAACGGCATTTACTGCTACGCCGTCCCGTTACTCTTCCTCGATGTTTGGGGACCAGTCCGCAACCCCTTGCAACGCGAGACGCACAACCCCCACCACCTCCGCCAACACCATCCTCTTCACACGCGTCTGTGCAACAACGCTCTCCCTCACAACCGCTGTCCCCTCAAGCCCAGCCACACATCTCTACGTCGCACCCATATTGTCCTGATGACTCCTCTTGGTCATCAGATTCTGAAAAGCTTGAACCGGACGTTATTGACTCGTTACTGTTGAATTGAATACCGTCCTTCTAGTCTATTGTCTAACGGTCTCTCTTTGTTCGTACTTCTTACCAATCGGATGTATTACCCGAATCTTCTTCTCGGGTGGCGGACACTCAGGGTTTCAATTCAAATGTTGTACTCTTTGATTATTGAGTAACTTGAGATAAGGTTTAGTCAGTATCTTAACCTGTACCTATATCTATGCTTGTTCATGTGTCCATGTATACACAAGGAGAACAAACAAAATTCTTGTTCTATAGTCGATTTGTATCCTTGTTTCAATGTATGTTCTCAGTCCATCACATAGTCATCTATGTTGTTCGTTCTTGTTGTTTTAAACTGCAAAGCATTTACTGAATGTTGTGAGTAACTTGCACCTATTTAACCTATTACAGGTATTACAGATGTCGTCCATAGTTAAAATAACATTTGATTCCTATTTATTGGTGCCATGTTACATAGGTATCAGAGAATATTCATGCAACATAATGGACTCAAATTGTTTTCGGCACGCAGTCGGCAGTCAAGAATGCTGTTATTGTATCCCCTTTCCCCACATACAAATTTTCATGAGTATCACAAATATTCTTCAATGTATGTGCAAATGTAGCATTTATCAACTGAGACAATAAACCATTTCAGAAAAATGAATGACGTGAGAAAATGCCATATCTGAAGCCAAATGAGAAACTGACACAACCTCATACTTAGCATTTGCATACCAAATTATGATTCATCTTGAGTTTATTAGTCCCATATACTATACCCATCAGCTAATACCTTTCTTGGTGTCATCACATCTACTCTTCTTTGGAGTCTGTTCTCCCCTTCCTGAAAAGTAAAATTATTTATCACCAAGTGCAAACATGTTCCTTTAGCATAAAGGAATGCTTACCATTATAATATTTCTTAAAAGTGTCTCAAATTGTAATAACCTTTTTGTTATGGGTTTCTCCTTCTGTTGCATCTGGCAATGAGTCAGTTGGGACAATACATGTGAAAAAATATGATATTTTACCTACTTTGGTACAAATCCAAAGTAGGTAATGTTTTCATTTCAGCAATGTTTTCATTTCAGGGTACATATAAGAGTGAGTAGGTGAGTTAAGTTTTACGCCATACTCAGCACTATTCCAGCTATATGGCAGCAGTCTCTGAATAATCGAGTTTGTACAAGACAAACCAGTGATCAACAGCATGAGCATCGATCTACCCAATTGGGATAAGATGACGTGTCAACCAAGTCAGTAAACCTGACCACCTGATCCTGTTAGTCGCCTCTTACGACAAGCATGGGTTACTGAAGATCAATTGTAACCCTATCTTCATGGGTTCATATAAGAGTGGATCATTGTAAATGGTTAAAAACGTACTGTTTCTTTGTTGGCTCTAGAAATTGCTAAATATCAACAAATGCTTCATCACACACTCTAAACGAATTACCTCTTGCATTTAGGCACTATATACAATCCATACCTGTGCTGACCATGAACTTGTTTAAACAGTGATGATTTTATTTACCACTAAGTCACCATCAACCAATGTTCTTCCAGTGACATAAAAATCAGTCGAGTGAAATTTTTTGTTATTAGAAATTTACCTATGACCCTGTCATAATTTTGTGGTTTTTTTTAGGTGTGTGTGTGTTGTTGTTGTTGTTTTTGTGTGTGTTACATTCCTATTTGAAATCGATGGCAATAACACGTTCTCTAAATAAAACAACTATTTGACACAATCCAGCTTGATCATATAACCTTAGGAACATTGATAAGAAAGGTTACTTTCATAAAAACATTAGCCCTCTCAAAAGTAGCACATATTTTAAGCTCATTGGCTAATCCTCCAGATGGCTTCCGCAAGTTTCTTGAAAAGATATTTTTCAAATTCATTTGGAATGGTAATAATGATATAATAAAAAGAATCACAATGAAAAGATTAAAGGCTGAAGGGGGGACTGGGTATGGTTGATATAAAAAACATTTATTGAAGCTCTAAATTTATCCACTCTTAGACAATAATTACTGTAAAAAATCATCCGACAATAATCCTTTCAATATACCTTAAAATGATATCTTCAAGTATGGAGCAAATATTCACAAATTGTACCACGTCTGAGTGTCGGTTCCTTTGATCTTACCCGTGGTGTATGTGCTGGAAGACAACAGTTTTGTGTTGAAGGCAGATTTCGTCTGCCATTGGCTCCTAAAAGCCACGCCCCACGGCAAGAGGACTGAACTCAACATTGTTCAACATTGTACACAATTTATGTCAGTCAAGGTTTGCAACAAGGAAATGTAACTTCTACAGTTTTAATGGTTTCAAATGAATTTACAAGCTGAAATTGACCAACTCTTTTATTTATGAGAACCAAATGCTGCAATAAAATGAAAAAGAATGAAACGTATACATGTACTTTATATGTACTTTGAAATTTACACAATAATGAAAGTTATAGTTCCAAAAATGTTTTCAGATTTAGATTAATTATTGTAGAAAACACAGTTATTATAAATAGCACTCATTTTGGCAACTAGACTGAGAATGAAACGGTCGTTAAAACTTTAAAATTTTCCCGCTTCCCATACATAATAGGCGTGGTACAAGTCAGTTAGCTTATCCTATCTCACGGTATGCATAATCCCACGGTTGGTAGGCGGGTTGCAGATTACCCGGTTACTACTACCACCGGGAAAACGCATAACTCAAGGAGGCCAGGAGAAAGCGCCAACTCCCGATATGCAAACTCCAAACTTGAGATGGTTTTTTTTTTGTTTTTTTATGTGGTTTTTTTTCAGGTAACCCCTTGGCTTATACAGCACAAAAACTCTAAGGAGTGGGCGCTCCCGAGTTAATGTGGTCCCTGCTTCGAAACTATCCCCCACAGACACACGCTGGAAGGCGGTGAAAGAAGGAATAGCCTGGTTGATCAACTAGTTTAACGTTCAGTACCAATCTCCCTAACCTACCAAAGGTGAGAAAGGACTTAGGAGCAGAACGCTTTGAAAACCATACAGGTAATCGGGATCAACACTTCACTGACGTGATTGCTCAAAGAGTAGAGGTCAGTAAGCGGAATGTCGACCTTCTCTACATGTAGCACAGGACTTGCCTCATAGTCTTCTGAGCCGACGTCAAGAGGCCTAGGAGTTCCTGCCATTGACGGAGCGTCCTGGCTTGCGCTAGAGCTAGGGAGACCAACCGCTGTATCTGCAGAAACGATCCCTCGGGACAAACATTCTGTTGACCTGTGTGTCGAAAACAGCTCCGATGAATTGAAGTCGGTACGATGGGACTAGTTCCGATTTCTGCAGATTGATTAACCATCCTAATTGGCAAAGAAGCTGTATCGCAAACTGCATGTGACGAACCAGAAGGGCATGATCGTTCTGTGCCTGAATGCAGTCGTCGATGTAGGCTTCGAACACTGTCCTCTTGCGATGAAGAAAACTGGTGATAGGCTTCGTTACCCGTGTAAACAGCCACCGAAGAAATTCCAAACCGGAGAACACGCTATTGATAGTGGATGTCCTCGAAGATGAACCGAAGGAATTTGCGACGCGCCAGGAATATCGGGATGTGGAGGTAGGAATCCTGAAGATTCAAACCGACCATGTAGTCTCCCGGCTTGATAATTGTCTTGAGGAGTGCCACCGATATCATGAGAAAATGAGGCGGGGGCTGAAGAAATTTCTCGTTGAAAGTCTTCATGTTGAAGATTAATCTCAGTTTGTCCGAATCCTTCTTGGGCACCAGAAAGATTGGAGAATAGAACCCTGGATTGGTCGGGGCCGGACCCAGGGATTCGATCGCAAGTTTCTTGAGTAAAGTGTTTATCGTTGATCGCAGAACAGCCGATTGTTGTTTGGGATACGTTCTGCGATCCGGAAGTATTGTGAGCGGAGGTTTCCCGATGACTGGTAACTGGAATCCCTTGGTTAACATGGACAGGACGTAAGGGTCTCCCAAAATTGTCCAATTGGGAGCAAGTCGGCCTCCTACTGGGGAAATCTGAATGGGTACGACTGGAGGTGGAAGTTCCCAGTCGCCTTTCAATGTCAACAAGTCATTGCCTATCACGTCTCTGTGAGGTGGGCTGGTCGATAGTGGAAGTTGATCGTGGAGCAGTGGCAGTTCTTCGTTGGCGATTTCGATCGCGTCCTCTTCCGTGAGGAACCCCTCCCACAAAAAGAAGCCGTAGAACCTGAGCGAAGGTCCGGATTAGTAGGGACATAGTGAGCTGGTCGTCGCTGTCTCATTGATTGCTCCACTTGTAGTCGCTGGAACCTCAACAATTCGACCGAGACTTGTAGATGGGCATCCTTCCCTACTCTTTTGGCTACTTCCCTAATCGCCTCGTTGAACAGAGAATTGCCCGACCAGGGTGGGCGAAATTGGTCCGTTCTGAATCTGTCTTCCCAGGATGATAATTGTGACGGTCCTCTACGCCTCATAGCTGACATAGAAGAAGAAATGAGCCAAGAGATCTAGGATGGTTTGGAATTGTTCTTGCAACTCGGATGTATGCTTGCTGATGGGCTGTAGTTGTCAACATTAAGTTCAATGGAGCCATAATCTTCCTTATGGATGCATCTAAATGTATCAGTTCACGGTCTTCGACCAGAAAGGGCGAATAATCTCTCTGTTTCGTACCCAACAGCGTGATATCATCATCTACTGGAGGAGCGGCAATCATAAATGACAATCCATGTACATGAACCGATGCCAAGTTGAAGCGAGGAGCAGCAAAACAATCTTTAATCTTCCTCAAACTAGCAAAAAGGCTCATCCAGGGACGCAGTCAGCTGAGTAATGCACGGTCGGGGAGGGAACATGATAGAACCAAAGTCTCCAGTCTTCATATCAAAACTGGATAAAATGTCATCTTTCGAAGTACTATGCTGTAACATGAGGTCATCAGCAATCCAGATAAGTAGCTGAGGTGAGTCAACAGCATCCACACTCACATACGCAGGAGACATACTTCCTGAAGACATAGACGGCGCTGTTGAACGTAGAATCTCTTGCACAGGCACCGCTGGCGTAGTCGAAATCCCTGATGACTGAGTAACACGAGATGACACTGGCTCCTGATGCTACCGCCAACACAAAGGCATCAAAGTCCATAGGTTGAGACTTTGCCCCCTCAGACACTGGATTCCAGGAAACCGGCAAAACAGATCTCGCCGTCGAAACTGTAGCAGAAGGAACTGATGAAATCGTAGCAGCCCCAGAGGGAAGATGAGGTATGTCACCCAGCGAGGATGAACATACAGCTGATTGAGTCACGTCAACATGAGATGATGGCACTTGTGTGGACAACGCTGAAACCTGAGGAAGTGTTGAACCATGAACCACTCCAGCAGCTTGAGACCGTACCGCACCAGGAACACCATAAGTAAGCTTTGAGCCTAGTGGCCAATGAGTGAAACTCACAATAGGAATCCCTGGAGTGAGCGTTGATCCAATAACACTATGAGTAAGCGCCGAACCAGGACGGCCGTGAGCGAGCGCTGAATTAAAAGCAGCATGATGAAGCGTCGAACTAGTAGGAAGCGTCAAACCGGAAACGCCGGGAGCAAACGCCGAACCAGGAGGAAGCGTCAAATCCTGAACACCGGGAGCAAGCATAGAACCGGGTGGAAGCGCCGAACCAGGATGAAGCGCCGGACCAGGAGTGAGTGCCGCACCAGGAGTCCTAGGAAGGGGTGCCAAACTGTGCATACCATGAGCAAGCGCCGAGCCAAGACCAACATTAGTGAGTGCCAAACCGGGAATCCTGGGAGGAAGCGCCGAACTGGGATCACCATAAGGAAGCGTCGAACCAGATGCAAGCGTCAAACCAGGACCATTGGGAGGAAATGCAAAACCATGAAGCGCCAAACCCGGAGTAAACACCGAACCAGGAATACCAGGGTTAAGCACCGAACCAGTTGGAAGCGCCGAACTGGGAAAACAAGGGTTAAGCGCCAAACCAGGAGGAAGCGCCGAACTGGTAGTAAGCGCCGAATCCATCCAAAGCGCCGTGAGATAGGATAAGTTTAAAAATATATATTAAAGCTCTCAAAGGGTTCAAGATTACTTAATGACAAGTGTATTTCTAAAAATGACAAACTTGAGATTTGTACTAAATGGGAAATGATATTCAATGATTGTGAATTTGTTTGGCACAAAATTTTCAGCTTCTATTGACATGTATTGAAAGATGTTAAACTTCTTTATTTTCAATACACATTTCTGCAAATAGTTATTTATACTAAAATATTATTATTCAAAATGAACCTGACTGACAATGATTTGTCTACCGTTAGTTTGCAATGATGTTTCTGAGAGCATTTGTTGTGCTTATTAGGACTGTTGTGAAACCATAAAATTCTGGAATGATCTCGAAATCAATTAATAACTATTTACCATGAAAAATAAACATTACAAAATATTTGATTTGGTTTGGTACATTACATAATGATGTATTACTAAATCACATCATTATCTCTGCCAAAAAAACATATCAATTTATGTAAATTTAAAAAATCAATTCCAAAATTCATTAAATATAAAATGGCATCAAAAGAGATATTTTCTGTTCAAAACTTTATTTTCAAGGGAAACAATGAAATTGATAAATTCAGTCTTAAGTCTTAAATGGAATTCACTCATGCCAATATTCAGCAACAAATTATAATTACATCTTTACACCTTTTCTGTGTTTGTTGTTACTGTATACCTTTGACTATGGGAACAAATAAAAAAAATACATAAAAAAAACATGGGAATGTTAAGATACAATATTAATACACTTTGTCAAACTGATTTTAAATCATAGCTTTTGTGCACAGAGTAACAAGAGGGCACAGAAATCTACATCCTTTTCCCTTTCAATGGTGCATAAAATCACTAGAAGTGTAAATATAAGAGAACATACCATTAATCCTAAAGCATATGAGCACAAGTTACATAATAATGACTATACCGAAATCTTTCACTCACTCCCTACTCTTAAAGCTTTCAATACCTTGTAATGCCATGAATTAGAAATGGTACCCTGGTACTTTTCAGTGACTGAGTTTTGCATTTGACAGCAAAGGCTGAATTCATAAATTCATAATAATAATAATGTAGCATTCATCAGTCCTTTAATGTTTGTATGATGCTGTACCTTTCTTATTAATTGACTCTGCATTATAATTAACATCCAAGACTACTCCAGCTGTACCATAAACTAGTTTACCAAGACTGACTACCTCTTGGTCACCTGACTAACATAGGGATTTTTTCCTGGGGATCTATTTTCACCTATATAGATACAGCACTGTTGTATGACATGGGATAACAGATGTGCCCACTTGCCTAATTAAATGCTAAATGTAAAAATTCAACAGTGCCCCTGCATACAGTTCAGATTGCTCCTCTTCACAGCAAGAATAGGCATCAACTGAATTCCAAGCTTTTCCTCAACAAACTGTTGATCTGGACTGGGGGGCAACCCAACATGGGATGGTATGGTGAACAACCTGTAAACATATGAAGTTATTTATACACACAAACATTTGTTTTTAATGCCATAATATAAATAATAACTGCATCCATGTGTTGATGTTTTCTGCGTAACCATGAAGGGATGCACAAAATAGACACAGATGTTGAGATTTAACTTAAAAATGCCTTATTTGACAATTGAGGTTAAAATGTAACATCAAAGCAGAAAAGTCTAACTACAGTATATAACATTGCCAAAGAGGAGCATACCTGTTAAGGTGTCATGACAGAAAGATGTGAACTGTCAAATACATTGATTCACTCAATGGAAAAATAACAAATACATCTTCAGCCATGCATGTGCAAATGAAACTAGCAAAATATCTCTATAATCCTAACAAAAGTGGGGTCAATTGTCTGATTGTGACTATGGCATACAGTGTTCATGAATTACTACCAGTTTGTGAGGGTACCAACGGTTCACAAAAAAGCTGAGCCTATATTGCCTGACTAGTGAGTGGGGAACCTGCAAGTCCAATACATCTGTTCTGTGTTTGTGACTCTGCCCTAACGTTGATATGTTCCAACTTACACTAACAATAATTTCCTTCATATCAAGCATCAGGAAGATGCCTTTACATCTGTGACCTTAACCATGGACATGACCTTTATAGATTACATATCATATTTCAGATCCCATATATATTATTTGTTATTTATCTCCTACTTAGGGCTCTCACGAGTCCAAAATTTGGGACTCGAGTACTCGAGGTGTCAGACCCGACTCGGACCCGAGTACCCGACAATTTGGATGCTTATCTGAAACCAACATTCAAGCATCCAATCTACGAATAATGCAACATGTATATGTAAATCCAAACGTTCCTGAATAAAGCAATTGATATTCAATGTCAATGGAAGTATCTATTACCTTTTTATGATTGCAAACAGAATGTGAAGGCAACGTAAGTGTCACTGTGACCCAGTTCTACGCGATCAATTATGTGATTAATATTCATGAGCTGGGCCGATGATACCTTATTACGCCTGTAAATGATGTAATATGATTGGATGTGTCCGGGAAAAGAAACCAATCAATCTACTTCTCTTTTCGTTTGGTTTTAAGTTTGACTGCGCTTTCAAGATTATCTCATATTAATATGTCGTTGCAGTTATGACATATTAGCAACTTTTAAACATTCACCTGGACGATAAGTCACATAATCAATTAACCTTAATCACGGTTAAAATGCGGCAAAACACGTTTCAAAGCTGGAAGATACATAGATAAGCATTCATTGATTGGTGCTTCATTAGATACTAGTATCTTGTAAAGATGGATCGACTATGGAACTTAAAGAATATGTAAAACAGGATTGATGTTTATTTGAGACTTCTTATAGTGAAAACGGTTTGGTTTCAAACTAAAGACTAACAATTTATTGAGTAACACTACGCTGTATTTCTTCTTCCGAAACTCTGCTGAACGGAGATCACGTCAATGGTACTCATTGTGATTACAATTTTCACTATTAAGGATATAGGTCTCCAAGTGTGAATGTTATTTTGAATGCGTATGTATGTGTTGATTGTTGAATGTGTAACACTGAAACACGCTGGATAAGAACGACTGAATATATAGAAAACAAGTTGTTCAAACATAGCTATAGTGGGCAGGGACAGTGATAAAGCCGTGAGTGGCTACGCTTGTCCACGCGTCCGTAGTTAGGGCAACGGCAGGTACTGTTTTGGGTGCTGATATTTTCTTCTCCTTGCAAACTTCATACGACTTTATGAGGTAGTTGTGAATTGTCGCAGTACATGGGACCTGGTAATTTGGGTTCAATGGTTCACAGAAAGCCCTGAAACCCTCCACTTTAACAAGACTTAATGGTCGCATATCCTTAACGCGCATAAGCATTGCTTTTTGCGTAATACCTTCATACCATTTCCTGTCAACAGGCTTGCGACTTTTGCCATCAAACTTACCAAACTGCCCCAGCGTTGCTTGTTTAGCTGGTTTTCTGTCTACAGTGCTTATTGTGGGTGCTTACAGGACTAATGCTTGCGTAACTAAGGGAAACGCCACAAAGACGGCATTTCGTATTTTGGCCACTAAATCAAGATAAAAATGCGTCCAGACATTGGATTTTTTCTCACGATCATCCATCTTGATTGCATGAGATGTTTAGAGATATCTCCGCTGCGAGTCCTCGAGTCCATTCAATTGGACTCGAGTCCTGCTTTACCCGACTCGGCCCCGAGTACTCGTGAGAGCCCTACTCCTACTCTTCCCTGATATTAGGGATGGTGAGTTAAGACTTATGACAATTATTGTTCCCATTTCAATGCATAATTAGTAGTGTTGGGAATTGGTTTAAATTGATCATTTGTCCATTACAACCGATCAATAATCGAAAATAATTGGTTAGGATCATTTATCAAATGTTCCTGTTACCTTTGTTAATGCACAAAATAATTTACAAAAAAAACCCATGTAGTTCTTTGGGTTTGGGGGTAAATTGCACAAAATGCATTTTCATACTTGACATATTTAAAGGATGGCTAGTATGTGAGGAACATAAATTTCCAGGAGTCTTTAAGATAAATTCAATCATGACTTGGAACAAGCTTGTAGTGCTTATGAAATGTAAATATAATGACTCATACAAACCAACCTTGTTAAAAAATATTGTTAATGCAAACAAGTGTTCCAAAACTGCTTGTGTTCGATTTTGAGAAAACATTTTCGATTGCTTGGTCATTCAGTCACTGCGACCAATCTTCGATTATTTCAATTAATCAGACCACCACTAATAATTGGTTGACTGCTCACTTAAACTCAGAGCCTTGGTCACATTGTGGTATTCTTGGATTTCCCAATCCATACTCAAGGTAGATCCTATGTAGTTGATCCACAAAGTCAATGGTATGTTGCCCCACTGGTGTTTTCTATATCAGGTTTCAAATTTGCTTCATTAGGAAATTTAGGATAACAATTGCCTGTCACCTTGCTTATCAATAAACTCCTGTACGGATCCCTAAGAATTTTTCAGCATAATACCGGTTTATCAATGTTCTTATATTTTCGGAATTTCGGATCCTGAACCCAACAAACGCTGTGTAAATTTGTGGATATGACATTATGAAGTCCAGACTGAGGAATCACTATTTTCCTGTCCCCATCAATAATTTCCAGTCTGTATTTTCAATGGGCAGGGTTGTGGATTTCTTTCAAAGGTAAATCAAACTTGTTCATATTCTTACAAAAATGATAAAACTTGACAATCCTACTTTTCTGGGGAATGTCACCTCCTTCAAGTTTTAATCTAAGGCAGTCGTGATGTCATTTGAAATAACACCAATGCTTCTATTTCTTGAAGGTTGTGCCTGAAATGCATCAAAATCCATCATTAGGTTCAATTGTACCTCATATGCTTGTTTCTATTTTATCTCACATTATGTGATTAATGTTAATAATGTTATATAATTTATTGAGTCATCTTACAAAAGTTATTAACAAATGTATACAATACAAAAAGTACACACAAGGACCCTCTTTATTCTATCTGGAGTGTTATTCCACAAAAAAATGAAAAGAATAAGACAAACCAAACTGAGGTGAAACATATTTTAATGTGGTTGCCTCATCAGCATTAAGATTACTCTTTAGAGTTTATTTGGGTAAACATACTGACAGTATGGTACAATGAACATATCACTGCACAATAGATTATAACGTAATAAACACATATGAAACACATAAACAGTCACTGAACACTATATTAATGCACACCATTATTAACATACCATATCAAGATGTAATCACACCCAAATAGTTCAGCTGCTGCCTATTCTTAATATGTGGCTGATTATGAATTAGGGCAAATGAGACACTAACATGACTAACAATTATCTTCAAACTAAGAAACAAAGGCCAGGTTCTGTACGTACTGTTAGATGGATTACTTGTTGAAGTGGTAGTACATCTCAGTGATGTATTAATGGTAATCATAATAATTATTAAGCCTTTTAAAATGGAAAAGAAACATATATTATCCAAGTCCTTCAAATCTATTAAATCCTTTCTTCAATATACATAATAATTGTCAAAACATATCACATTTATACAAGTTGTACACATGAAACCATGTTATATGCAAGATTACACTTTCTCAGTAAAATACACATTCTACACATGTTTGGGGTTTAGTCCCATCCAGGATTTGAACCGACTCTCTCCACCAAATCGCCAACATACAAAGTCAGTGATCTAGCCAACTCAGCTGTGAACATAATTATATTGTCAGACTTTCACCACACCTAGTCAAATACATCCAAAATGGCCTTTGGTCCAAAATGTGTTTTACATGCTCTAACATTGAACAGGGTAAATGACATGGCAACTAAATAATATTTCACATGTGGTAGTCTCCAAAGCAGCTTGCAAAAGAAAATTATTTAGGTGGTAAACAGCTGGTGCTTCCTTTTCATATATTTTGCTGTAATCTTCAGGTTATTATAAATATGAAATATGAAATGCATACTTACATGCACTTACATGTTGCATGAAATATCACTAAACTACTTAAGTCAATAATGCCTTGTCTTACTATGTGATGTTTATATGTGTACTTATGACCCTTCTGCAGCTGCCCTTAAACATACAGAAAGGTCTTAATGTTGAAAAAAATGGAGACATCTGCACTAGGCAAATCTGTGATTTATGTACTGTATGTGTACATGTGAGTGAGAGAGTGAATTTAGTTTTATGCTGCAATTAGCAATATTCCAGCAATATCACGGCAGGGGACACCAGAAATGGGCTTCATCCATGTGGGGAATCGAACCTGGGAAGCGAACACTTTAACCAGTGGGCTACCCCATGCCCTGTATATGTGTACATATCACTTAAAAAATATGTCACTTAAATTTTTTTTAAAAGAATTGGATGAAGCTTCAATACTTTACCCTGTCCAACATGTCTATATGGCACAAGATACAGAGAGATTTGTTACACTGAAAGACCTGTAAGAGATAAATTATGTCTATTTCATTAATGTTTTGCAAAATGTATTTCTGCATTAATATAGAATGTTTTATAATCATACAGATACCATGGGAGTTTATTCATTCGTCACAAAAAAAGAGTGTCATGGGATAATTTCACGCAACATAATATTTCGAATGACAGAAAATCTTTAAACCTCAAAACTAGTAACAATGCAACTTCCTGTTCATTAATCGTCAGTTGTTTTCCTTCCTCTGCTGACATCATCAAATCATAGCAGAGTCTGCTACATTAATAGAATATGGTTTTGATACTCATGACCTGATGTGATTGAGATAGTTTAAAACTGTTTCAACACACTCTCATGCATTGTTTTTATTGTAAACAAACAACTGTCCAGGTTTGATAAACCATTTATCAGAGGGCTAACACCAGTGTCTGATCTTTAATTTATCCCCAAAGTCATTTGTGTAAGCATCTTTGATGTAGGCTGGTGATCTAAGTGGAGAGGAATCAGAAACATTGTTCAAAGTTAGAAAGCACAGAATTCAGGCCAGAAATTGGCCAGGGTCACATTAAACAGCTTTAAAGTCCTGACATATGTAAGGCTGAAAAATGAATTTTGCCAGAAAGTATAAAGTAAGGGGTTGGAATATGCCTAGCAATGTGAAACACTGACCAAAGAACCCTACTGGCTGTTAAAGCCAAGAAATTGAAATTGAAACAGATGAAAGCTCTTTGAGACCACAGCATGAAACGAAATTACACATGAGTCTATCAATTCATCAAGCTAAGGCTTCGAAATACTTCCATGAAATAAAAAAAAATCACTGTTTGTTGTTTTTGAGAATGCTAGACTTGCCAATTTCATATATGAAAAACAAAATGAAAAAAATCCAGATAACTTATGAAGTTTATTATTTACGCTGCCCAAAAGTGATTATTATTCATCAGAAATATCTAATGGATGAGGTTGAGAGAGTTATGGAATTTGAGATACAGCCTTCACTGGACTGGGGCATTTAAACATACTGTATGTACCTACATGTTCAAGTACCAGAACTTGTTCAAGGTGGTAGAGGATATCAAGGTGAAAGGAGGGTGCACACACTGCCAACATCAGACCGACTTGTTGAAACACAACATTGGATGTGAAGGCTTCTGATTCTGCTGTATGTGCAAAGATACACCTCCCCACTCACCATCAGTCATTCTCCAAGCTGAAAATAGTGTCAAGATCATATTAAATGTTCAATCATAAAGACCATAACAGCCATGAGACAGTTTTTGAGAAACTAAATAATTGTTTGAAAGTCATGAGAGAAAAAAGTTTATTCATATGCAAAAAGGGTGTAACAGAAAGAATGGATCATATGCAACACTGTTTACTTAAAATAAGAGGGTTTTGTGACATATTGTGCCATCAGCAGTGAACACATTTCATACTCGCAATACTCATATCATATGACTTTACACACAGACACCCAAATTGTGTCAGTGGTGACTTTATCCTAATGTTTTGTCAATTCATCGGTTTCAACAAATTTAGAAGCCAGGTAACTATTACCATGTGGGCTCTTGTCACTGTTAGACCACAAATCGAGGCTACATTCAAATCAAGGCCACTAAAACAATCCATTCAACTCAAGCAGCCCTAGCTTCACTCCCTTAAATTATTCTCTATAACAATGCCAACTTGTATCCATGGTGAAACATAAATAGGAAAGCATATACATGTAATGTATGAATTACTAAAATGTGCACTCACCTTTACATGCTGCACAAAATCAAATGTTTTCCCAATAACTTCCAAAGCAACATTAAAAACAACCAGGCTGTTAACAGCCAATACATGTAGTACATATAGCCTCAGACCACTTTACTATCTACAGTGACATGCCATGGCCAGAGCACCATAATTAATATCTGTCCTAGGCTGTCCTGTGGCATGCTGACCAACCTACTACTTCTCACTTACCCAGCAAAATATCGGTCTGGATCGAGCATTTCAATTTTGCTGTATCCACTGTCAACAACGGTCACCGGAATTTTCGAGCTGAAATACACTAAACAGCCTTGAACTTGGGGTCAAATCATGAAAGGCTGGAGTCAATAGCATGTGCAGATTGAGGACAAAAAACAAATGGCAATAAAGTAAAATGTCTGATCTTTCATTTAAGCTGTCACAAGTCACCCTGAATAAATTAGCACAGACAAATCAGTGCATTTAAACAAGGCACTACATTCTCCTATTTTCCTTCCGGGTCATGGTAAAACTTAGAGGAGTAATACAGGAGGGTGAAAAGCGCCGACCCCAGTTTCGCACCAAAATGTAACCTACTTGAAAATATCTCTGCACACATTCTGCAGAAGTAAAAAGAAGCAACTACACATTGAAAAAAATATGCTTAGTTTTAATTACTGGATGAATGCACATTTTAACAACATAAAATCATCCAATCACTGCTGTCATTTGATTCAGTAAGCACTGAAGGCTCTCTACGATACTTTAAAATAAAAAGGCATAGCAAAACTAACATGCATCTCATTTCCTACCAGTCCCCTGGGGTGCTTGGGGCTGGATGAAGCTCTCCTGGGCAGCTGGCAGAACCTCTGTGGTGCACACTGACTGCCCGCCTTGACGCACCGAGGAAGCGGCCCAGCTTGGCTGAAATGGGAGAGAGAGTGAATGAAATTTTCAGTCTAGAGGGGGTTGTACATGGTCAAAGGGATCAGGTGGGGCCTCTGCACCAGCCAAAAGCCCCCAAGAGGGTCCAGGGAGGGGCCAAGACATCTTTGAGCATTTAAGGTTTTCTGTGCACTTAATGACTGCTATAGGAAACCTTAAGTGCACAGAAAACCTTAAATGCACAATGGACCTTTTTAAAAAAGGCACAGCAAAAACAACATGCATTTCATTTCCAACCAGTTCCCTGGGGTGCTTGGGGCTGGATGAAGCTCTCCTGGGCAGCTGGCAGAACCTCTGTGGTGCACACTGACTGTCCGCCTTGACGCGCCGAGGAAGCGGCCCAGCTTGGCTGAAATGGGAGAGAGAGTGAATGAAATTTTCAGTCTAGAGGGGGTTGTACATGGTCAAAGGGATCAGGTTCAAAGGGGTGTTGAAAATGCCATGAAAATGATTTTATATTAATTACTTTAGAGGGAAGTAAAGTTGAAAATAATTGAAAGTGATTTTAACTGCCAATCAGTAAACTCAGTAAGACTTGCCAAAGTACCAAAACACCCTGGCAGTATGGTATCTTTGGAGGGATATACTTTGCCAGACATTTAAACTGGCCGAGGTGTTGACATGGTGTTTCTTTTTTTATCCTTAATATATTTATCTGCACCTTCACACCAGAAACTAGTAATTTTACCATTTGGAGGGATTCCACAGATACTTCAGATACACGACCCAAATTCAAAAATATTTGTTGAAACGGCACGTATACTTCATGTTTACATATACCTCTGTAACGGTCGACGGGGTGGCTGGAGAGGTATTTACTACGACAATGTGGGTATGTGGATCACTCTCTTCCAGCCACGGCAACACAACAGTTTTAACTAGTAAATGATTTCACAAGTCATAAAAGTTACCAACAGCAAATTTATTATAAACAATAGCAAACTTCTAACAGTAAAGACAATATGCAATCACGCCGCCCAAAGCGTTACTCTACAAGTTATAAGGTACAGTACAATTATATATAGTTACAACAGTAGAAAGATTTTACATGCGCTTCTGCGAGTATAGTGCCTCCGGCAAGCCGGGTGTAAACTTACATGTTATTCAGGGTTTTCTTCCCTACGATCGAGATGCAACCATCCAACTCTCAGTGATTCGTCTGTCTCTCTCAACCGTTAATCGGAGAATCTCTCATCCCCGTTATTTCTATTGTGACGTAAAATCCTAGATACGAAACCTTCTAAAACACCTCGCTATGACGTCACAACATGGCGGCGCCCATGCCGAGACGTAGCTTACCTGAGGCAGCACAAGTCAACACCAAAGTCGCTACATACATTACGCCACATCAGGTAGACTGATGGAACGAGGTGAAGAGATGGCTTGGATCTGTTTTACATACTAATTCCAACGGTATGAGCTCTCGTAATCTAAAGATCACGGTAAACTATATGTTGCAGTGCACTGGCACGGAACAACACTACATGGACAGTGTAACTGATACCGCGGGAATTAGTATACCCAAAATACGTCATAAGTAGTAAAGATATCTATATGGGGTAATTATTATCGATTACCCTGTACATTACAATATCCCCTCTTTTATTCTTAAATCGTCTCGATTTACTGACATAAGAGGATATACATATATACAACGGTATGGTAATTATGATATATATACAGTACATTCATACAGATAATAATACTGGCATAATGTGGAATTCATATAGCATACAATCAATAAAACTTACCTACTTACCATTCCCAAGAATTGTTCTCAATCATCACAAATATACATATATCTTCCACAGTTCCAGAATAAATACAGTTCAAAACAGTAAGGTCCACACAGTTCAGCAGATCCACAGATAGTTCCAGAGAGATCAGGAGATAGTTCCAGAGATATCCAGAGATAGTTCCAGAGAGATCCAGAGATAGTTCCAGAGTTGCTAAGTATAACGGCAGCTTACTTGGTCATTATTCGGATGTAGGCATCAGCTTGTCTGCGCAAAGTTAACTGCTCGTTGAACCGTCTATCCTCTGCCTCGTGAAGGACAGCCATAGCTTCCTCTGCCAGACCGGATGAAATCATCCAGTGTCGGTCTGGTCAGAGGAATGTCGAAGGTGGTAGGCCAGCTCGGAACTGACCTGGCTATCTGTCTCTCCAACTGGGAAACCTGACATTTCAGCGCCTGTATCTCAAGCTGGGCCCGATCATAGGCCAGTTCCCACTGGTTCGAAATAACCTCACCAACGGAAACTGGTCTACTCTCTTTCTCAGTCAGCTCAGGAGCGGACTGGACATCTACTGGTTCTGCTGGTAACTCCTTCTGTGTTGATTGGGAAGGTGCCAGTGTAACTTTGGCTGCCTTCTTTGACTTCCGAGCCGGGAAGGTCCATTTCCCTGGGTCCATGAACCCCTTGTTCGTTGCCACAGTTGTCCTAGCCTTCCTGCAAGCCTGTATCATGTTCTTTGGGTTGGCCCGCTTGCTGGTGTGATGCCTCATATAGTGCCGGGTCAAGTCCGGGAACATATGGTAGGTCGCTCGGCAATCCAGGACAGGACAATGGAAGATGGTCAACTGGGGCCTATGTCTCATTGTCCAGTGGCGCTGAAATGCCGGAAAGTGTGTGAATATGCTTCTCTCCGGACATGCCGGGCAATCCATTCCAGACTGGAAATGTATATCCTGCTCTGCTTCTGCCGGAAGGTCCATGTTTGTGTCGATTGTTGTGTTCTCATCCAGGATGAGCACCTCCTCCCCTGGGGAGGGTGAGGTGACAGATTTTTCGGTCCTGAAGATTAGAATTTACATATTACATAGTAGGTAGGATTATATAATATAAAAATGTTTGTTATGAACGGGGCAACAAGAGAGAGAGATCCATTCCCCATGTTATTCCAACAACAACATGTCTTTTAGGCTTTTAGGGTACTATTGGTTGATCCATCATCTACAATTTAGTCTCGCTATTAAGCCTATGAACCAGTCATTCTATTTCCTCAATCAACTAATTTCTATCAGACAGCGTCCAACACGCCTAAATTTTAAATCTTGATAGATATCTAGATAACTGAATATACAGAATTCATTCGTGACGTCAGCAATTCATATCTTCTCTTAAGTTTACACCCCACTATTATCAAATGGGTATAATGTTTTTATCTCTCAGTGTTTCAGGACAATGGACCATAGAGGCAGTGAACTCAAGCATTCTGCTTGGAATGGAACCAGTTTGGTGGTTCCTTCCCTAGGTATGGCAGTAGACGGTCTACATGAACCACCCGGGGGAGGATTGTTGATGTCGTTTTGAATGCGGTAGGTGATGTCATCAATCACCTTGGTGACAACCCAACCTTTCGACCATTTTGGAGTCAGTTTATAACTTAACTTGGTACTTCTGTGGGGGTTATACAACCACACAGGTTGACCAACTTTAAGTCGTGACTCTCTTGTTCCAACATCATAACGCTTCTTTCGCACCTCTGAAGAGCGCTTAAGTGCTTTCCGTGCCGATTCGAAAGCTTTTTCCAACTGCTGCTTGACCTCCTCTACATACTCATCCCTGGTGAGCTGCTGGTCATTAGGATCACCAGTAACCAGGTGGAAGGGCATGCGCACTTGCTTACCTAACATGAGTTTGTTTGGGGTTTGGCCAGTTGACTCATGCTTTGAGCTTCTGTATGCCGCCATCACAAAGGGAAGATGTTTGTCCCAATATCGTGGTTTCTCGTCTGTATATATGCTCAACATGGCAGCTAGGGTACGATTGAAACGCTCGACCTGGCCATTTGCCTGAGGTCGGAGAGAAGTGGTTCTTGTTTTCACCACTCCTAACAATTTGCATAGTTCCTGGAACAAATTGGCTTCATACTGCCTACCCTGATCACTATGTATGAATTTAGGGGTACCATAACGACACACCCACTCCTCAACAATTTTCTTGGCCACTGTCTTTGCCTCAATATTTGGGATGGCAAAGGCTTCTGTCCACTTAGTGAACGAGTCAGTAACAACAAGTATATACTTGTTGCCAGCTGATGTGCGGTCCATTGGACCCATGATGTCAGTGGTTAGTCTCTCCATTGGGGAGCCGGTGGTATACTCCTTCATAGGAGCTTTTGTTTCCTTGGACTCTTCCTGGCGACACACTTGTCACACTGAAGGCAGTGATCTCGGACAGCCATCTTCATCCCTACCCAGTAGTAGGACTGCTCAGCTTTGGCGAATGTCTTCAGGACGCCAAGATGCCCTCCTAAAGGTGAGTTATGACAAGCTTCAAGGACTGCTCTACGTCTGATGGATGGTATAACTATTTGCCATCGCCACTCCTTTCCATCGTTGCTATCCCATCTCCTATGCAACACACCTTGCCTAACTGACAAACGGTGGAACTGACCCCATAGGGCTTTGCATGCTTCAGACAGTGCAGAAACTGCCTCCCACTCGGGAGCTTGTTTTGTTGTCTAGCTTTCAAAATTGGGCTGATATCTGGGTCTTGGAGCTGCAACTCTCTCATCTCTTCACAACTGAAACCCATATCCTTTTGTTTTGCAGATTGGGATCTGGTGATAGCAGAACAGAAAGCCTTGATGTCAGGAACCTCTACACTGCATGGTCCGTCCACTCTCCTGCATTGTGGGCATTGCTCACAGGGATGACGGCTCAAG